AAGATATCAACATTAGATGGAATTGTACTTACAAATTGATTCATCAAATTCTAAGATATAAAGAGAAACTTGCTGAATTTTTTAGGGATGAACTTTGTATAATCATTAATTCTTTTGAATTTGTTATTGTTGAAAAATTGAATGCCGTATTAGAAGTTTTTAATAACGTAACTTTTACTTTTTCTCATGTTTACCAACCAACTACAAATACATTTTTTAAAGAGTGCGTTACAATCGCAACATGTTTTCGTGAAAGTATGGCTGATGAAGATTTGTACCCTTATGTCTCTCCTATGAGAGATAAAGGGTGTGCTTATCATTTGTACATTCCTGATATTTATAAAATAGGTATTATTTGTGATCCACGCATTAAGATTGAAAATTTTAAAAGTTTAATTGAGTATTACTACAGTTGTTTTTTAGATGAAAATAGTTATTACTACAGCCATTTAATAGAATGGAAAAAAGAAAGAGATAATGCTATAACTTTTTTTGAGAATTTGTTTAAGGAATATCAAGGGTTATACGGTACTGTACAAGAAGAAACAGCACCACCTCCGCCCCCGAAATCAAAAAAAGGTTTTGCCGGAATAGTCGGTGACCTTCTTGCAAAGAATGGGAAGCGTGCTCAGTCTTCGACGAGTTCAAGTGGTACAACAGTAAGCTCGCACAACGAACTTGCTATGTACCAGGGTGTGCCATGCGATTACGATGACGACGACGTGGATTTTGACGTGCTCGGATGGTGAAAGCGGAACGAACACATGTTCCCATGTCTCGGCATGCTAGCAAGACAAGTGTTATCCGTCCCGGTATCAACCGTAGCAGTTGAACGAGAATTCAGTGCTGGCGGCAACATTCTAACCGACTACCGAAGTTGTCTTAGCGCTGAATCTCTTGAAACACTGGTTTGCAACCAAGATTGGCTCTTGGCAAAACGTCGAGCTCAAGAGTCATCGTACCAACTCGAATCGGAGCATTACATGAATGCAACCACAGATGGAAGTCCGAATTCTGAATAATAAGTTATAAATTTTTTTTATGTTAATGTAAATATGTAATTAGTTTTTTTAGGTGAGCGATATATAAGCTCTTTCGAGGGTTTCTTTACGGTTCTTTACCTCGTCGCTTTTTTTGAACCGTCAGGATATTAAATGTGGTTGTTCTTCAGTTAGTGTATTATTCATTTAAAATATTTAAATAACAACTACATTTTTAGATTTTTTATTTCATTCTTTCCTTAAAAAATTGCAAATTTACAATTTTATACTTTAAAAATTTTAAAAAAAGCAAAAAAAAAATTGGGGGGGGGGGGGGGCGAAACCGGCCGGTTTGGTACCGGAACCGCCGGTCCAGGAACCGGAACCGGTACTGACCGGACCGGTCACGGTGCCGGTGCCATGGGGTGGCGGTACCGGAACCGTCCCGGAACCGTACCGTGTCCACCCCTAGTTGGATTAATTTGAGGATAATGAATATAATGCATGGGGGAAGGTTCAAATGACATTGAACCTTAATGTCATAGGATGACCCGGGGCCGCTCCGGTGCCCCGTTCGTAAAATTGACGGTTCCTACCCCCCTAACCCCCTGGTAAACCCCCCACCCCGGCCCCGACCCGAACACACCCCCCCACCCCCTTCAATTTCACCCCACAAGTTGATTTTGACTTTGGAGTCAAATTTTGACTCTAAAGTCAAAATCAACTTGTGGGGTGCAATTGAAGGGGGTGGGGGGTTGTGTTCGGGTCGAGGCCGGGGTGGGGGGTTTACCGGGGGGGTTAGGGGGGGTAGGAACCTTCAATTTTACGAACGGGGCACCGGGGCGGCCCCTGGTCATCCTATGACATTAAGGTTCAATGTCATTTGAACCTTGGTGGTAATGCATATACTCCGGGCAATAGCCACTAGCTAGGTGTATGTCTCTTAAAGTGATTTGGCTTTTGATAAGAGATTTATTAATGGATGTGGTGGTTCCCGAAAAGAAAGTGTTCGCACTTCAAAGTACGGAGTACTTCTTAGTTATTTTCTTCCCCAAATTATTTCTATTTAATTTCTTTAAAAGCTAGAGAAAGTAAAATTAGAACATACTCCGTATTAAGTATAATTCATATACTTATAAACAATATCAAAGATTTAAAAAATTTTGAAGTGAAATGATTTTATTATTTTATAAAATATATAATAAAAAACTAAATATAGTGATTAGATTTGACCTTATAAATTATACAAGTATTAAAAAAAATAGATATTTGAGAATCCAAAAAACGGTAAAAAAGATTAAGGAAATTCTTGAAAGGGGCAGACACGTATTGTCATAGTTCAGTAGGAGTTGGATCATGTTAATGTATGGAATTCTTATATATTGTTTTTTTTACTTTGGTATTTTCAATGATTTTGATAGGATATAGATTTTATAAGGTTGATAGAGATATTTTTGTGTGTTTTAGGTAATTGGTGAAGTATGCCAAGGAGACGAATCTAATAATCACATATAAGAACACAGCTCAAAAGAGAATAAGACTACCTTAAAATTATTTTCACGTTCACTATTCACACAATAAAATTTTTTCACTTTGCTGACATATTTTTGTTGTTCATTTGGTAAAATAATATAGTTATGTTACCTCTTGTTTTATGGATCTTTTGATGTAGCTTTTGAATATGTAATTTTTCTTTTTTAATTCTACCACTTTTCATGTAAAATGATTTGAAAATAAAATCAGTCAAACATCGTAACGCACAACGGGAAGATAATTTTTGAATGAATGGAGTATCTTTTTCCCAATTGCAGGGAGTTGGACGCCCATCCAGTCGCAGAGAGTTAGACGCGCTCGGCCAAAGGCACGTTACTTGGCTGAGCAAGACATAGAAGAAGCCAAGCTCTCAAGATGGCAACCGCACTCAGACAAGAATCGGTACTCAGCCTAGCAGTACGTACTCGGACCCAAGGGTAGAGTTGATCATACTCGGGCTATCATCCAACGATAGAACCGTGTGCTCGGCCTCGGCCAACAAAGGAACAACACATGTCTACTCTATGATCCCACTCAAGGACATTTCGGGTATTGTCCGTCTGCACATCATTTGCAATTATGTTGTTTGTAATTACACCACTTATACTTGTAGTTTAAGATATGATTCCCGTGGGCCCTGGGCCACTAGGGCCTAGGCCCTGTCCTAAACAACGGTTAGGAAACACATGTATAAGATATGACAAATGTATTGAACAAGTACCCCTCCTACTTCGGGAAAGGGGGACACATTCACTGTAAATATACTCACTCTACACATTTGCGACCGAAGGCACTCAGTCCTTATTCGATATTCTCTTGCCTGGTCTTCTAGGCACGGGTACGATTCTAAAATCCATCACCAGTATTTTTATTCAGTTTGAGCTTTTCAAGTAAAATTGGAAAAGTTTTGAACCTTAATTAAATAAAAATTATAATGTATATTGATATATAAATCATTTCATTATATTTATCTTGTTGAGAACCATTAAATTTGATTTCATTGTATTAATATACAATATAAATATAGAGTATAGATACAGTAATCAAAATTCATTTTATTTGACTCAAAAAAGTCAAACTTTACAAATAAATTGAGACGCAAGGAGTACTCATGAATTTGACATGATCTAGGATATTAACTAGTCTCATTTAATCTTATAAAATTCTACGGATAAAATAAATTGATTTTTTTTAATTCAGTGTAGAATTAAAAAAATAATGATTTTTACATTAGATATGAATTATAAATAATATTTTAAAATCTAAATTAGATACACCCCTAATCTATACTTTTGCTATACAATACATTTAAGTTCTAACTTCTAATGAGAGTATTTTATAAGTTTTTCATATAAAATAATTTTAAAAATAATTTTAATTAAATATCATTACGTGGAGCGAAAATATTATTTTTGGACGGATGATTATGGTAAGAATGTTGTACAAATAGGGAGTGGAGTAAGAGCACTGGAAATACCCGTGAAGCCCCGGGGCTTCAAACCGGGGCTTCAAAATTTCTCTCTCTGCCACGTCAGCTTTAACTTACCTCACAGATTCAGTGGAAATGGGTTTGAAGCCCCGGGGCTTTAAACTGGGGCTTCAAACCTTCATTTTTTATATTTTTAAATATACATATTCTAAAACTAAATTAATAAAATTTAATTTTTTCATTATATTGAAACAAGAATAATAAAAAAATACATTCATTAAATTTAAAGAAATTGAAACGACAATAATTTTAAAAAATTACATTCATTAAATTAAAAAAAGAAAGTGACATTAATTTAAACGACAATAATTCATTAAATGAAAATAATTAACTGCAACAAAAAAAGAACATTTAATTATAAAATTACATTAATTAAATACTTAAAACAAATTATATTAAGCTTTGATCTCGTTATGTCTTCTCTCTAAAGTAGATTATATTCAATTGGTCATTTGACTCGAGATCGGACAAATGAACATAAAAAATGAAGACATTAATGTTAAAAAAGATGAAAAAAATTGAATATTTTTTTTTTAAATTTGAAGAAGATAGAGGAAAAGATTTTGTGGGTGTTTAATTTTTTTAAAAATAATTGAAGAAGAAAGATTTTGTTTGTGAGGTTTATTTTTAAAAAGAATAAATTGAAGAGGAAAATATTTTGTGGGTGTTTATAGGAAGAGTTTTTTTTTTAATTTGATGAAGATGGGCAAAACGCCCGTTAAAGGTTTAACGCAATCAAAATCACGCCCGGATAAAGCCCCAGGGGGGCGGTGTTTAACGCCCCTGGGGCGTTAAAAGTGCAGTCACGCCACTGGGCGTTACATGCATTACCAGTGCTCTAACATTTTTTTCACCCAAATTAATCTAAAAACTAATGAGTAATTTATGGGGGGTATTTTATGTAAGCAATAAATTGGAATATGTGAACAAGCAATCCGGGGACCAAAACTCCCTTAATCATATCCGCAAGTCAGGCATCCACGTGCTCCTGGGGACTACCATCCCTGCCTGTGCCTGCCCTGCTTGATTGATGATTCAATGCCAATTTGTTGTCTTTCCGCTCTTCATTTAACTCCTCCTTTGACCAGTTTTTGCTCCTCCCCTCCATTCATTCTCAATCTCCATCGCCATTTTTCTGCTTGAAGCTCCATTTACACTGTGTGAATCAAGAAAGTTTCCTCCTTTTCCGTCGTGCACACCAGGTGTTTGTGTTTAGGCGTCTGTGAGAGTGCCGCCTCCTTGCTGTGGTAGAACAAGCATGGTGATGGAAGGGATTCAGGAGGACATGATGGGTGATGGGAGTAGCATGCAGTGCACCAACCATCCTTACAAGAACAGCAGCAGTCCGGGAGGGATTTGTGCCCTGTGTCTTCAAGAAAAGCTTGGGAAGCTGGTTTCTTCCTCTTTCCCTTCAGCCATTTTCCCTTCTTCTTCTTCTTCCTCCACCCCATCCTTTAGATCTGATCTTGGTGGCTCGGTGATGACCGCCGGTGCCCCGGGTTCATCTCTGCCTCTCAGCAAGGCGGGTGATTGTGGCTACAATCACCATCATACTCAGTTTGCCTCCATCAGGAAGCCAAGAATGCCCTTTCAGAGGAGGAAGAAGAAGAGTAGTGGCGAGGCTTCTGCTATCGTGTTCAAGAGAAGCAAGTCCACTGCCGCTCCGAGAAACAAGATGGGTTTTTTGGATACCGACAGGAATGGTGAAGATTATAGCCCCATGAAAAGGGGTTTCTGGTCATTTCTCTACTACCCATCATCAACATCAAAGAAAGTTGAGAAGGCCGGCATTAAAGATGCAGGCTTTTCCTCCCCATCTGCATCTGTGGGTGGTCCTGTGGTGGTAAGAGACAAGAAAAGGGACAGCTTTGTAGTAGTGGAGGAGAACGAGGAGAGTCCTGAGCAGGCCACTGCTGCACATGATAGAAAGGTGTCCAGGTCCAGATCTGTTGGGTGTGGGAGCAGAAGCTTTTCGGGAGACTTCTTTGAGAGAATCTCAACTGGTTTTGGGGATTGTACACTAAGAAGGGTGGAATCTCAGAGAGAAGGAAAACCCAAAATCCAATCTGTCCATCACAGGAACAGTGTGGCCTCTTCAGGGCAAGAGTGCATCAGGGAAAGAGTGAAGTGTGGAGGAATCTTCAGTGGTTTCATGATGATCACTTCATCTTCCTCATCAGATTGGGTTTCTTCCGAAGGGAGTGTGAATGGGAAGTCTACTGTACCATCGTCTTCGTCAATGGATCATCATCACAGCCACCACCACAACCATCACCATCAGCTAGCTCATGGTAGGATCAAGAATTGGGGATGGGCACTTGCAAGTCCAATGAGAGCTTTCACTAAGCCATCTACTGCAAAAACACAAACATCAAACAAGAATGCATCTCCCAACTTGGCTTCCATACCTTCCTTGTTGACTGTCAAAAGCTAGGAGAAAGGCTTGGCTTCCCCCCCCATATTGAGTAAATCAGTCAATAATATTACCACCACTACTACTATTACCATAGAAACCTTAAGTTTATTAATTACCACCCTCTTTAAAAATGTGTTTATTATCTCTAAGTTGATGCGTGCTGGTGTTGATTTCTGTGGTTGGGCTTCATTCATGGAATTCATGTTAGTTTCCCTCTAATGATTCTTGGAAGGGCAGACATGATTTTCTTGGATGTGATCTAATGCAGCCATGTAATTTGCTGGTAACAGACATTATGGATGAGAATAATTGTCTTTTTTCTTTCTTGCCACCATGATAATGCTAATTTGGCTTTTAATTAATTTTTTTGTGTGGATGGGCATCTTCTTCCATTTCATTGTTGCACAATAACCCCAAGATGTTCTTGGATGCATTATTGAGTTGATATGTCTCTCTACTTTGTGCATGTGTGAGTACTAGTGTTGTGGATCCCTTCTTTTTGCTCATGTCTCTATCTAGGAGTCCCTATTTTATTCATGTGCTGCCCTTTTAGCTGGCCAAAATCCAAATAAAAGAATCATAAAGAAAGAAATGCTCATGTGCAATGGTAGATGATGCATAGGCCATGGACACAAGTAATCATTATTATTTCTTTTTTTAAAAAATATCTTTTTTAGTCATGGAGCCATATAATAAAGCTAGCAAAAGGATAAAGGTTATCTCAAAGGATGAGTGAAATGTCAAATGCACATGTTTGGTAGATGTACAAGTCAAGATCAGATCAAAGATTGCAAAAATGCCAAATCTTGTGATCTTCTTTGCTAGACTATGTAGCATTCTCCCTATGAAGCTCCCATATCTGGTTCTTTTGTCAACCCCTAGGCCTAGCTTGAAAAAAACTGTTCAACTGTTCTTTTCTGCATCCCAGATCTGTCATTAATTTTCTAAATCTTGTCTTAATAATTATATTTTGTATTAATTATTACTGTGCATGTGGGTGTGTTTGGGAGCATCATCTGAGGCTTGAAGGTTATGAACCGTTGATTAATTGACACCTTTTTGAGTCAATGGTCTTGATTATGCTTGGATCTCGAGGACCCCGGATGAATGGACGTCATTTACTCGTGGGTGTTGCGCATTTGGCAAGACAAGGAGTGTCAATGAGGTAAGATCCGCTAAACATAGGGTCTTTGCAAGTATCAGATGCAAGCTCCACTCTTTGACACTAATCTGCGATTAAAGTCTATTTTACCCTCTCAGCAGCCCTTCGGCAAAGTTTGAGGGGGCCTCAGGGATGGGACTCATCCTTTATGAATGGACGTCATTTCATGGTTAAGAGCATTAGAAATGGGTTTGAAGCCCGGGGCTTCAAATCGGAGTACCCTATCTGCCATATCAGCTTTATTCCACATTTAACTTACACCACACTTTTACTAGAAATACCAGACATTAAATGGGGGCTTCAAACCTTTCTTTTTATTTTATTTTTTAATATACATTTTATAAAAGTAAATCAATAAGATTTCATTCATTAATTGAATTTAAGCTGCGATACTTCATTAAATAAAAAAATACATCAATAAAAAAGTACATAAAATTCAAAACAAAAAAATTACATTAATGAAAAAAACTAAAGCATACAGAGCATTATATTTAGCTGTGATCTCGTTTTGTTTTTCTCGTAATGCATTCTTTTGAATTTTGTTTACGTATCAAGATGTGTTTCCATTATTTCGAGCTTCTCCTTCTCCATTCTCCGTTTCTCCCTTTCTTCTTCCATAAGATTGAATAACCGCATTTGTTCAACTATTTGCTAGCCGATATTGCCGCCGGAGGAAACAGAGCTGAACCCAGAAGCCGATCCAATTGATTTAGCCTTCTTTCTCCTGATCAGCCGTGGAATGGCATACTCGTCGTCGGAGTCGTCTAGGTTCATGGGTGGTTTTTGTTTCGATGATTCGATAGTATCCTCCCATCAATCTCGGTGGAGACTCTTTTCTTTGACGATCCGGCCTCAGGGTAGCACAATTGTTGTCATTTTTGTGAACAGTTTAACATTTTCCACAAATCAATGGGGATTTTGCCTTGGTGACTACCGTCTTGATACCGAGCAGTCGCTAGCCGTAGAATATCAGCATTGTTCGTCCTGCTCTTTCTCAATCGGGCGCATCCCCCGTACACTCCGATAAATTTGCGAACTTATCTGTTTATGTGGCCCCATTTGGAAGTGAGTTGGTCTCGGCTTTGATAGGAGGGGAAGGGATGTTGTTCATTTCAGAAAAAAACTTCTCCTCAATACGATCACACATTGTATCCCTCATTTGATTAGAACCTTTAAAAAAGTACATAAAATATATAAAAAAAAGAGCATATATAAAATATGTATAGAAAAAGAGCATATAAAAAATTACCAACTATAGGATGCCTCGATACGTTGACCCACGCAGACATCAACAAAACTTCTTCCTCCGGTGTTTAACACCCCGATAGCATTAAATGGGCAAAAACGACACCCCCCCCCCCGCGTTATGGTATTTCTAGTGCTTTAACCAAACTTAATTGAAAACATTTTTAATTCATTTTATTTAAATAATGTCGTAAAATTTGTATATTTGAAATTTATTTTGAGAGATATATCAACACGAAGTACTTCATCCGTCTCAAAATATTTGTCACATAGTTTTTTCAACAGTCGCGGGAACTTTTATTTATTTCTACGTTTTCATTAGTTATTTGATAAAATAAAATATTCTTGACACCTCTTATTTTGAAGAATTTTTCACGTAATTTTTTTATATGTAATTTTTATTCTTTATTTCTTTACCAATACATAAATAAAATGAATTGAAAAATTTGATATTTTGCCTCGGTAATAGGAATGTGACAAAGAATTTGGGACGGGTGGAGTAAAATGGTTAAGAAAAATGAATAAAATTTGACATCATAAATAGTGCATGTTGCCTCCCTTAGTGGACCCTCTTTAATCTAAAAAGAAAAACCAAAATAGGACCAGGGCCGGCCCAAAAGGCCAAGAGGGCCCTGTGCAAGACTGATATTGTGGCTCTCTAGCAGGGTTTTTCCTTAGGGATATGCTAGGGGTACACCTTTGGTGTACCCCCAAATGTACACCACTTGCCTCTACACCATTCATTTCATTTTCTTTTTATTTTTTACTTTTTTTGAAATTTTCTTGCCTTTTTTGTGTGGCGATGGAGAGGGTGGGGATGTTTGGGGTACATTTTTGGTATACTCCTAGCATTTTCCTTTTCTTTATTAGCAGAAAGTCTATTACCCTAGATTCATGAAAAAATTAAACAGGTTTATTTCTAAGCATGATGGCAAAATTGACCTATTGTGTGTTATTAAGTTAAAAAAAGTAAAAGAAGACACTAAATTATAATATATACTCCCTTCATCTTGGAATATTTGTCCACTTTTAACATTTTTAGTCAAAATTGAAAACTATGACCCCAAATTAAATAAAAATGATAGTATATATTGATACAAAAATAGTTTTATTGGACTTATTATATAAAATGTTCTCAAAATTTTATTTTATATAATTAATATACAATATATATTTTATTTAATTATAAGTTAAAGGTTGAAAACAGTTGATTAAAAAAAGTCAAAGCTAGACAAATACTTTGGGACGGAGGTAGTAGTCATTAGATCTAAAAAACAATTGTTATGAAATTTTTTTTATAATAGCAATATGAAGGATAAAAATCACTATTTTGATGACAAAAATTAATTTCAGAAAATTAAATTTTAAATTTTCCAAAAGTCAAAAAACCTAAGTACAAAATCTTATATTTAAATTAAAATAAATATCAAGCAAAGTTTAATTTCGTACTTATAATCCTATACATATACTATAATTGATAAGAATCTTTAAAAAGATAAGAGGAAAATGAATTCTAGCAAAGAAATCAAAACTAGAATCAAAATTGGAACATTGATAAGAGTTTAGGAAATTCTAAACTTAAAATTTAGAAAAAAAACGATTGGAGAAGAAGGCTTTTGACTATTGAGCGGGCGGAATTCTTTGTTCACAATCTTTGCTCAATTGGAATTTGGAAAGAAGGGTGGCATAGGGTTAGTGTAGAAAAATTTGGGCCCTCCATTATTGTTGGGCCCTGTGCAGTCGATCAGCTTGAACATGCTGAAGGCCGGCCCTGAATAGGAGTAAAACATTGAAAATATACGAAAATAGGACTTCCAAGTTTTTATTCCCGTATTAGGAGTTACATTACTAAACATGGTCATGTACATTACCAAAAAATATATGTAATGTGCACGTGTACAGTGCCACATTACCACAGTGCAAAGTCTTATTTTGGAAAAAAAAATATGAAAATCCTATTTTAGTACTTTTCTCTATGTTTTAGTCCTATCCAGAGTGATTTCTATTTAATCTAACTATAATGCTGGAGTCACAAATAATTTGGACACGATTTTCACAAACTTGTCATTTGTATATTTTAATGAATATTTGAAATCATTTTATTCACTTGAAAAAGTGCGCAAATAACAAATTTGTAAAGTTTGTGTCCAAATTATTTGTGACTCGAGCATTACTCTTTTTTCTAATAATTAATCACCACGGACCGTGCATCTTCCACACGTGACCCGCATTTTTCATCACATTTACAATCACAACCCGAGCAGGGTAGCTAATTCCAATCCGCCTCCAATGAACGATGGGATCAATACATGTGGTAGGTGTGAGTGAGTGTAACAGTTATACTTGTCCATTTAGTATCAAACAATCTTCACAGCTTTTTTTGAAAGATCTTTTTCGTTTTCAACTTAATTCTACCGACTAATTATCTAAAGAACTCTACTCTGAAAAATACTCCCTTCATCCCAAAAAGTCTTTCCAGTTTACTATTACGGTCTCTTAATAACTTTTATTTATTTGCATATTTTCATTGATCATTTGATAAAATAAAATATTCATGTCACCTCTTATTTTGTAGAGTTTTCGATGTAATTTTTAAATATAATTTTTTTATATGTTATTTCCTTACCAATTTGTAAATAAAATCATTTTAAAATCTATAAGATTTTGCATGTTAATCAAAGTAGAAAATTCTTTTTGGGACGGAGGGAGTATGAAATATGAATCATAAAAATAAGAATATTAAATTAAGGAAAAATTTCTCCGTGAACCTAAGGTCTATGCTTATTATTACATGAAACTTAGTCGTCTGTAATACGGAGTATAAAAGAAGTGATTCTACTTGTCTGGTTCTATTGAGCTTCTTTAGGAAACTAAGTACACATCTCCCTAAGTTTCCAACCCTAACCGCTCAAGTGGGTCCAGGGTCTAGGCCCAGTTTGCTTAAGCTATGACTCAAATACGTTTATTGGACTAATTACATAGATATCTATCTTTCAGCCCAATATATACATCATCACATCAATATACACGCACGGGTTATAGAAATGATCAACAAATCTTAAACGTTAATAAAACTTTTATAAAATTTTCATGTTAGTGTAACCTATGCCCATTTGTCCAAAATACACATGCAATTTGATTGTTTAAAAATCAAATCGGATTTACCTTGATCAATAATTAATTGAAAAAATATTCTTAATTTGATCAATTGATAAATGAAAATAGTATTACGGTGTATTAATTTTGATCAATACTTTCCTCCATCCCAATTTATAGTGTCTATTTCGGTTTACGATGTTTGACTGAAATTATTTTCAAATCATTTTTTATGACAAATGGTATAAAGTTAAAAAATAAAAATTACATATTAAAATACTACATCAAAAGATCTTCAAAACTAATAGTGATAATAGTAATTTATCTTATCAAATTGCTAACGAAAATAGAGAAAGAAAATGAATTAAGTTTAACCCCTCTCTCTCATTATGTACAAATACAATTATTAAAAGTCAAAGTAGCATTGAAGTCCGATAAAATTGAAACACATAATCTAATTTGGGATGGAAAAGCATAAGAATAAAAGTATAGTTCCCCAAGGTAATTATGAATCATATAGTAACACAGTTCAAGTCAAGGAATCTAAGTGAAGGAAATATTTGTCATCATCAATTGAAAAATGCAAACAGGCTATAAAACTGCACTTAGAGACTTTAATCACAGCAGCATACAATGACAAGAACACAAAAACCTCAAAACTAAAACAGCTAGCAGAAGTCAAATTGGATGAAAATGGTTCGACGTTCCAAAAGACACGCGCTTTCCAGTTCATAAAAACTCACACTGGATGTAGATGCGAAAACCGGGGCGTTGCACCTAATGAGCCAATTTAAAGTAAAGAATCAATGCGATTGCAATCAATAATACTGTGACGATTAATCCGATGATCCATTTATTCCTGCTCATCCTTCTTGACATGTTAGTCAGTATCTTCTTGCTCCTGCTAATGTTGTCGTCCACTCCGTGGAGCTGCAAAAAAGGTAAAAAGAAAATTAAGTTTCACACAACCCTAAGGTGGGTCCAGATACTCTGCAGTAAATCCACATTGGGGTGAATTGAGTGATGCCCCGGTTGATTATCGAGTGACTCTTCTAATCTTCGAAATCAATCTGGACCGTCCATTTTGCAAGCTACTCCGCGATGGAGTTGCTACGGAGTATCCAATATCCATTTCGTTGAGAAAAGATTGGAATTTGGAGGAAAGTAGTGCTCCTTTTACTCCCTCCACCTCTAAATAATCTCCCCATTTATTAGCACGGTCAAACTATATTCTGTTTCTTTACTTATTTTCATTGATTATTTGATAAAATAACAAGAAATGTCCGTAGATAGGAGTAAAATGACATGAAAGTACTAAAATAAGAGTAGCATAATTTTAATTTCCTAAATATGACTGCGATGGCAGTGTGATAACAATGTGTTTGTGGCAGTGTGGTGTCAAGGTGGTAGTGTGGTGGCAGTGATGATAATGTGGACGACCAGTCAACGGTGGTCAAAAACGACGATTGGAGATTGCGCCCCGGCGACCACCCACAACAGTGCTCCAAGAATGTGATAGTGGTTGACAATGGCACTGTGGGCTCCTATTTAGGTCTTAAAAGACAAGCACTCTTATTTCATACCATTTTTCTCTTATTTAGGGAGTTCTCCCTAAAATAAAAGTGTTGTCATAACTTGTTTTGTAGAACTTTTGAAGTAGTTTTAAATATATATACTCTGTAAATTTTATTTTTAATCTTACACCAATATTTACATAAATTGAATTGAAAATATTTTCAATCAAATATTGTAATCCGAAACGCTCTTCCATCATCTGTGATGGAGCCAAAATTTCACCATTTTTTGGCTTTGGGGTGTGATGGAATAAATCAAAATGGATCTCTAAACTGTCTGCGCTTCTTTAATTAATGAAGTAGCAGTTAGTCAAGCAATGCAACTTTCGACGTTGAGCCGGGGGTCTCTTTGGAAACAGCCTCTCTACTTTCGAGTAGGGGTAAGGTCTGCGTACACACACCCTCCCCAGACCCTACTCTTGTGGGATTTAACTGGGTTGTTGTTGTTGTATTGTAATCCGAAACAGGAAGATTATTTAGGGACGGGGGAGTTTTAGTTTTATATAGAAACAAAGATGCTAGAATTTAGACATAGGTGATTATTGGACGTACTGTGTTATGAGCATGCAGAAGGGACTGGCGCTGCTGGTGCAAATCTTGAAGAATTGAAACACCGAGCTCTTCAGTTTCAAACATCATTTTTCGGCCTTCTCTAATCCTGTCGCTAGACTGATTTAATCTCTCAGTTGACATCATCAGTCTTTGCCTTTGATCAGTTGATACCTATAAATAAATAATTGTATTTAAGAGCCTTCAAATTATGAAAAGCATGAGTGCCAGCATAAAAATATTATGTTTGGAAGTTGGGTCAAACTAATATACGAAGGACTCCGTACTTTTGAATAGAAACATAACCTCTCCTCCACTTTTCCTTCTCCTCCAAGCCCATTCAAAACTCAATTCACACACAAAGCCAAAGAGATTTCATGCCATCCTCTCAATCCCATCAGTAGAGAAAACCTTATCCCATGATGGAAGGAAGCAGCATGGCCTCGATAAATAGGTCAGTTTGGTATTGTTGCAACAACATGTTGAACTGTGATGTAAAAGAAAATATCTTTCGTGCTTTATGACATAAGTGATGTGAATGCAGTGGTGCTTAGTAATGAGGTGCAATCAAACTGCTACGACTAAACTACTACTCCGTAAATGACCCAGAATGAGGTCCAATAAATGAAATGTTTTAGTTTGAAAGCATTTCTTGATATTTGTGAATTGTGACTTTATACAGTTTCAAAGTTGTAGCCTCCAAGATAAAACACCTTATTTTTCTACCAAACCAGCTTTTGAAAAAAAGGGAGTGTGGCATAAAAACCAAAACTGGCCCTAAAACCAAACGAGCTTGTCATAGAAGTGATTAACTTACTCCGTATAAATAACTAGTTGTGGCTTCAAGCCATACATAAACGCTAACAACACTGTCTCCTTAACTAATACCATTCTTAATTCTTAAGTCAGAAATACTCTGGATTGTCATAAAACCGAATGGTTGGTAACAAGGTGACATGTGGGGATTAAACAAGGCACATCATAGAGCAAAGAACTTGAACAAGTTGGGATTCAATTTATTCCCATAATATTTTTTTAGGATGTTCGTTGTCTTGAAACAGTTTTCTTGTAGTGTTTCAAGGAAATGAACACAAGACATAGATGGATAACATCGTGAATAGAGACAAGTGGATACCACGTTACCACCTTAGCATCTGCCATTCCAGATTCCAACAAATCATCCCTTGCTGCTTGATTAGCATTAGCTGATGTAATTCTTTTAACTCCATTTTTCAAATTGTTCAGATCATTTTTATATTCTCTCAACTTCAGAAGGAGTTGGCCCTTTACATTTGGTTGTAAACTCCTAGCCTCAAGATCCATTTTGCGAATCTGCAGAGCAGAAATATGAAGCTAGCATCATTTGTGTAGATTGCGGAAGAAGCAAAACTTTGCACCTATAAAATGATTAAAATACATTCTCTACATTACCAAAGCTTCAGCATCTTCCAGATCAGATCTCACTTCTGAAATTTTCTGCTTCTTTTGTTCTTCAAACATGCACGGAAAGGACAATCACAGTTATACAAAATTACAAAGCAAACGGGAAAATTAATACTCCCTCAATCCCTACTTTAAACTTCACATTTCCTTTTACCCTTCGTCCCAAAAAAACTTCCATTTCCGATTAAAGAAAGGAACACGTAGCTCACAACATCTCTTTCTTTTAAGCAAATTCCAACTACATACTTTTCAATTTACTCGACAGAGGGAATAATAATACTCCGTAATAAATAATAATAGGTGATCTTTATAAATGGAAAACCATAACTTGCAACATAGGTCTGAATCAGGATGGGGGCTTAGAGTAGGCACTAGACACACATTTATTAATCTGCTAGTGGACTAGTTTCAGAAATACATTTCCTTGTTCACATACAGATTAAACAAGGGATAATACAGTACAATGCTGAAATCAATAACTAAGTTCTCTATGAATCTTATTCAAATCTCATACACATGACTAGATAAACGATTACCTTCGCATTGAGGTAAAACAACCCCAAAAAGAAACCATTTTATATAAATTGCAGGAAAATGGAAACCAATTTCGCACCTCCATCGAGACCACTAGCTGTGGTGCACTTCTTAGACAAGTTAGAAGAAAGCTCGCAGTATTGCCGCTCATATCCTTGGAAAACCTGGCTCATTCTGCCTCACCAAATACACAAAATTACTACCGCACAGACCACCAAAAGATCCAAAATCAAATCAAAATCCAATTAGTAATTGTCAAGGCTGTTTAACTTCTCCGATTCTGTGTAAAATAACTTAGATCAAAGGAAACCAGAATCGAAAAGAAGAAAGCGGAGAGCTCACGAAATCAGTAAATGAAAATTGACCGGGGGAAGAAGCGGATCGGAAGGACTACCTTGAAATGATCAGAGGATCAAAGTCCGGCGGGAGATCGACCGTAGAAGATGAGATTTCGTCGGGCTCCAAATCTATAGAGCTCGGAAACTTTTACAAGCTGTATGGATGTATACTGTAGTTCAGGTGGTATAACTGGATTTTCACGCCACGTTACACGACGGGAAAAACAAGTCGAATTTAAGGCTCCGTTTGTTAGTAGAATTTTTTTTTCTGAAAAAAAAAATGCATTTTAAATTTTTTACATTTGGTAATATAAGTGGTAGGAAACTAATTTTAAGAAAAAAAAATTTCTTTGGGAGAAAATGATTTCTGCTAACTATGGAAGGAAAATTCTTACTCACTCTCTGCCTCGTCTCCACATGCCCCCACCTCGATCGTCCTGCTCCACCCCTTATCTCCCAGCCCCCACCCTACGCCTACTGTTGGCTTTGGTGTGGCGACATGTTTCGTTATGATGTTAACAATAAATATGAGGCTAGTCGTTTATTTCAAGTGTGTAGGTACATCCAAAATTTACTATATTGAACACATTCACAAAGCAAAGATATACCACACTAAACATAGAAGTTTAAATGTAATAAGTATGATTGGACAAATAACTCCCAACATTGCTCAAAGCACATTACATCAAAATGATTTTCAAAACCCTCTATTATGTTCATCTTCTATGACAAACGTTTAATTGTCCAATAGCAACAGTTCAGTACCAAGAGCTTTGAACGATGAGGCAGAGTGCAATCAAATGGTTGACAGCCAAGACGAAAGGGTCAAATAGCTCGACCGTCAAGACTCGGAACACAAAGATCAAACACGGTGCATTTGAACGAGTGATCTCCAAAATGGAATGCTCCAATGATTCGACTGTCCAAACTCGGGACTCAAAGATCAAATGGAGGTGATTTAAACGATCAACCATGAAAGACGAACAATCTTGCACGTCGACTGTCTGAAGGAAAGCAAACAAAATCACAAAAGAAAGAATTATAATGTTTGACTGTCACAGAGACAATCTAGATACTCCGTAGTTACCACGGCGAGGCCACCCAAATAGGTTTTTTTTGATTTGAAGAGAACGATTCAGCAACCTCGACCATTGCATGAGAATGGCTGACCGCCCATAATTCGTTGGCGAGTTTTACTTCCTTTTTTAAACCAATTTTCAAATTTCACTCGCTAAATCCCTACTCCTCTACTATATAAAGACCTCATCCCCTGCCCAACTCTCTACAGCTCTTCTCTCTAATCTTATTTAACCTAAAGCTCTCTCAATACTCTCTCAATGTGTGCACTTTATATTCAAAGTGTAACATCCCCACCTGCGTAACCTAAAAATATGGGTTAGCAAACTGGGTTACTAGTAATCTAGTATCCAAACACATAAAATTTTTCAATCAAATTTTAAACATCCAAACAAATCCCATTTAGAAATCCATTACCGGAGTGAAACCCAACAATGCGAAAGCTAAACTATTTAAAACAAACACAATTTGGGACTCGCGTCTGAAAATGTAATAAGTCAACCAGTAATAGATATTAAATCAAAGTCATCAATTATGTGATCCCGAATCTCCTCCTCCTCATTGTCTTCCGGGATTGGCTCTTAGTTCTTCATGTTCCTAGTTACATACGCGTAGCAAACAAACACATTATATGCTTAGCAATGACGCTAAGTGAGAAATATTTAACGTCAAATTAAACAAATAAGCAAATCCATAATCCATAACAATCATGTGACATCATGCGACAACATACGAATCACCTACAAAGTTTATTACATAGTTTACCTAGCACCTGCCCATTTTCATACTCATCAAAATGTCGGTTCTTCAAGGATGGTATATCACCAATAAACTGTACTTATTTATATTCTAAACAAGTCCAAGGACTATTTTCTAATTTTTTTAGAGTCATGATTGTTTCCGCTAGAGCAACGGTTCATGCTCAACCAATAAAGGAGTTCTGCATTGGATGTGTGGAATCCCCACCTGATGAATCATTAGGCAATTCAAGGATACCCATACATATATTTTTACCTAAATAGCAATTGGCCCCAGCAGGCACCACATGGCTTAAACAGTTAAAACTCTTAACCTTAATACTTGTGTCAGTCATAGAGTGTGCTCTAGGTAGACTTATCTTAGCTCATGGCGTTGGATCAACATCCATGTAACTTATATTTCGTGTGCTTGATCGGCCCGCTCTTATCATTCGATTCAAATAAGTGTTGGATCAGAAGGGGTAACTCATTTTGAGACGAAGAGAGTATTTATTTTTCACTTTTTGAATATTTCTTTATTTAGGCGTACTTTCAACTTTTTGAAAAAAGAATTTTGTGACATTTTAAAAGCATAAACTAGGTACTTTTGTAATCATTCTAATTAAATCGGAACCGATATTGAATACCTTGAACCATATATACCGAATCAATATTTCAGGATCGAGATCAGTATGACATAAATCTCATACCGAACTGAAATATTTGGTACGATACACATTGGACGAACAAAAATACTACAATTTTTCTTCATAAAAATCAAAATAGAAAATGTTTTACAGGATTGATGAAGTATAATAAAGCTATTAGCTGTCATTCACGAGTATAATACTAGTAAAAGTTTGAAAGTATATTGTGAAACATATGCAACAAATTAAAAACAAATAAATCGATCGACCAACCAAATATATACTTAAAAGTATAGTGTGTAAAACTAACTGAATCGAACTACATTCTACTTTTGGTTTTGTTTCTAATTCTTAGTTAATACAAAATCAGAAAACCAACTGTCTTACATTATGGCAAATATTTTTTGAATCAAATCAAAACTCATACCAATGTATGACAAAAAAAAAACCTTACTTTAACCCCTAGAGATGACTGATGACCAATATAACTATGAACTACAGTATTGTTATATATATACTCCCTCCCTCCGTTCTTAAAAATACTTCTGCCTTAACTTTTTGCGCACCTTATAAAATACTGTGGGAGTATTTCAGATATTTTAGGTGGAAGTAAAAGTATTTTCTGGGAAACGTAAAAAATTAGGGCGGAAGTATTTTCAAGAACGAATTGAGTATATACATACGTAATTTATCACTGAGTATCGACCATCTTGTTGTTGTCGGCCGCCTCGCCGGTGCCGAGGATTCGCCTACGGAAGTCGGAAACCATGAGAGGAAGCCCGTCACGGAGGGAGACGGTCGGCTCCCAGCCAAGAAGTTGTTTGGCCCTTGTGATGTCTGGCTTTCTCTTGTGAGGGTCATCCTCTGTGTTTTCCCTGAACTCTATCTTTGCATTGGGGTCGATTGTGTCTTGTACAACCTGCGTGCATTTTTTTATCTGTCTCAAAATAATTCTCTTTTTTGTATTTTTATTAGAGAATATGCTTTTTATGGGGAAAAGAATATTTGATTTAATTTTAAAAATATTTTTGTTTCTTCTCAACAAATTCTTAGATTGCGTTCCGTTTTCCTGATCTGATCTGATTTTTTGAAGATCTGATCTGGTTTGATTGCAGTTATAATTAAAGTTTTTTCTAATCTAATCTGGTTTGATCTGATTATAATAAAAATAAGTAATAAACAAAAAAATAAGTTGAATGGAAGAGGGCCTTAATCACTCATATTTTATACTCGAGTAATTTAAAGTCTTTTTAACACTATTTTAATTACTAGGAACATTAAGAGACATTTTACCTTAGCCAATTCAAGCATGGTAAATTCACCAGGATTGCCAAGATTGAATGGGCCAACATGGTCACCTTCCATCAATCTCATCAGCCCTTCCACCTGTTTGACCATAATATGAAATAATTATCACTTATAGCAGAGAAGCTAAATTTTAAAAAGTAAAGTTGTGCCAAACACTCTTTTAAGTTCGGAGAAAGAATATCATAAAATGTTAAGATAACTACGATACGTACCCTACTAGGATCAAAATATAAGCTTTATTCCCCAAATAGGACTATTATATTTCTATCCTAAAATTAAACTATTATACTGCGACAATATAATGTACGTATTCATTTTTTGTTGTATTGCATATTAGCATTCTACAATTGGTATAGTTGTCATTATAGCTCGTATTTTTTAGATAAAAACATAAAAATTCTATTTTGTTTACTTAAAATGTTATTTTGAAATGGATCTTACCAAATCAGAAACATATTGAAAACTCCTTGTCTGCTTCCCATCTCCATATACAGTTAATGGTTCCTTTCTTAATGCCTGCAAAATATTTATTAATCACCGGTCATATATGTTGAAATTATTATTTATTCAGAAAATAAAGTTCTAGTAAAATCCGAGGTAGAATTACTTATTTATCACACCGCTTGGAATGTGACATTGTGATTTTTTTTCCACATATAATCTCTGAGTACGAAGTATACAAAAATAAATGTCTAAAATCTTGTGATCAAAATTTATGTAAATGAAAGAATTGGAAAATAATACTCGGTATGAGTCATATACTCCCTAATTAATGTCATTAAAAATAAATTCTCCTTACTTTCTTTTGAGCATTCCGAAAATAAAAAAAGAAATTTATTTTCAGGCGTCCGAGTGAAGGAGTAGGATTCATAATATGTTGAATTTGGGAGCCTACCTGAGCAACGAAATTGCTGACGACTCGACCATCGTCCAGACACATACGTGGCCCGTATGTGTTAAATATCCTCGCAATTCTAACCTGAAAGAATAATAATAACGCTAATGATAACAACAACAACAACAATAACAATAATAGTAGTAATAACAATTAATAATAATAAATACATAGAAAAAAACATTTTCTATTTTTGATGTCCCAAAAAACATTTCACACTCAGAAACAAATTTCTAATTTTTAAATATATTTATTTCTCACTTCAGAACCAACATTATTAATTATGAAATTAAAAATGAATTTTTATTTAGTTACGGAGTAAATCAGACCTCAATATTGTGTCCTCGGTGGTAGTCCATTGTCAATGTTTCGGCCGTACGTTTTCCCTCATCATAACAACTCCGAACACCTGCATGCATGCATGCATGCATACGTACTAGTTTAATTTTTCATTTTAGAACCTAAAATTTTGTTTTTCTCACAAAAATACTTGAAATCTGAAAAAGTTTCACAAAATACCTGAAACCGGTTTCCAAACTACGGTCAGATCACTTTGAACCTAATTACAATTTTGTATTCCTAATTTTAAATTTTTACCCCTGTTTTTTTCTCATATTATCTCACATTTCTTCTCCAAAAAAGGTGGAAATGGCTTGCTGAAGAAGAAAGGAGAGAGAATATAATAAGGAAAAATTGCAGGGGTCAAAATAAAAAATCAGAAATATGCTCCAGGAGTATAAAATTACAATTATGCCCAAAATTACGTTGTACTCCGTAGTAACCTCGAAATCAATTCCAGGTACTTTATTGAGATATCTTCAAAGTTCAATTATTTTTGTGAGAAGAAATAAAATTTAAGTACAAATATGATACTTGTATATCGTGTTAAAAAATTCGAGTACCATCTGCAAAATTTACCCATAAATAACGTACCAATCGGGTTAACGTTACCCCAGTAAGTCTCGGACTGGGGGTGCTGCAAAGGGTCGCCATAGACTTCACTTGTGCTGGTGAGTAGAAACCGAGCTCCAACTCTCTTTGCCAGTCCCAACATGTTTAATGTTCCCATCACATTTGTCTTGTGATCATCCACCATTATTCAGTCAAGGAAAAAATTAATCAACAATATACAATCTTATTTTCTGATGATGTGATAATTAATCTTTGTCAAAATTTCATCCCTGACTTTTTATAGACAAATACATTGCAACAGATGAGACAGGGAATATAAAGTCTTGCATAAAACCTTTGAGGATTTACCATGACGACCCGACCCTCATATTTAGGGCCGTTCTCGATTCAGAAATCAGGGACCCAACACAACATGGGAAAAAATGGACTTTTGTGTCATAAGAAAGTAAAGTCTATGAATTGATTTTTTTTTCTCACAATAATCAACATTATGATAATAAGGATAATAAAATGTCAAATTCATATCATATACTCTGATATATAATTGAAAAAAACTGGAGCCCCTGCAAAAATGAGACGTGACCTGGTGACCACCGTGTCCATGCTTTGAGCGGCCCTGCTCGTATTATGATGCATATAATTAATTAATTAAACCGTAGTGATCATAAATAACCTATTCATACTAATATCACAAATAATCCTAAATAAATATAATAACATGTTTTCCTGAAATTGATGATAAATAATGAAATATATATAAGTGTAGCAGTGTAAATAAATGAAATAATGAAGGATATGATGGTCTTGACAGGGTTAAACTTGTAATAGACAGGGGAGGCAGGGCAAGCCAAGTGGTAGATTTGGTCAACCTCCAACATGATGGGCTCGACGACGTCGTGTCGGATGAGTTCGAACCTGGGGTTTCTGAGGTGCTGCAACAGGTTCTCCTTCTGACCGGTAAAAAAATTGTCGATCACAATTACATTGTCGCCCCTGGCCATTAGCCGGTCAACCAAATGGCTCCCCACGAAACCGGCCCCTCCGGTCACCAGTATCCTCATCCCCTTGCTCTTTATCCCCACCGGAACCTTCCCACCTGGTCACAAATTTTAGGATTAAGGTATTTGTATCCAAAATTTATGAGTATATTTCAAATTCTACGTTACAAGTGTGCACTTTTATTTTGTTAAGATGATTGTTTACACAGACACGAAATCTTATTGTATCTTTTTTAATCGCACTGGCATTTTGTGTCTGTGTAAATCATCAAAATATCAATGTATATCGACCTTTGATGTAACTTTGAGTACATTTCTTGGTATAAGTATAGCATGGTTGTAAATTTTAGTGTTCACGATATTCAGTTTCACACTCTTTTTGTGTTGTTTCAGTTTCAGTTTTGTACTGTTTCGTCTGTTCCAAAATAAGGTTTCTTGTTACTATAGATTTATAGATTAAACAAATTTTACTTTATTTATACAATTTCATCGATCATTTGATAAAATAAAATTTTTTTGTTACGTACGGAGTACTACCAAGTCAATAACTATCGAAAACAAATTAAAGAGAGGAAAATGTCAAACTTTGAAGAGTAAAGAGAAAATCTTTCTCCTTCGGTCTCTAAAACACTTTCCTTCTATGATCAACGTACAAAATTTCATGACTTTTAAAGTGGTTTATTTTTTTTATAAATTGATAAAGAAATAAAAGAGAGAAATTTTATATTTAAAAACTACATCAAAAACTCTACAAAACAGATAACTTTTTTATGCACAGAAGGAGTATTTTATAGGAGACATATTCTGTCTGTCCCTCGAAAATGTTGTACGTGTGACTTTTGACGAATATTAATAAAATTGTGTGGTTAATTTAAAAGTGTTGCAGAAAAATATAATTTGGGCCTAAAAGTTTTATTAAAAAAAGAAAGTATAATTGGATGCCTGCTTTGACGTGGTAGCCGGTCTGATGAAGCGCCTCAAACATAACCCTCCGAGGAATGATCGGAGACTCGATCCCGCCGGCGCCCGGCGCCGGGGAAGAGGACGAGCGGAAAGCGAATGCCACGGCCGACAATCCGACCCCGAAGAGGAGGCAGAGGACGCGCTGCTCCCTGAGAACGTAATGTGCGGCGGAGCACAGCGTGGGACGCGCCGGCCGCCTCTGCTGCCGGCGGTGCGCTGTGGGGATTATCATGTCATCGGCCATTATTTGTAAATTATAATCTATATATGTATATATAGAGAATTTTGACAGAGTTTGATATAAATATATTGAAAGAAGAAAAGAAGAATATAATTGGGATCAATTCCGGTTTTGGAGATAGAAATGAAATTAAAGATTTTCTTTTTTCTCACTTTTTTTTTTGGGGGGTTTGTAAAAGATATGGATGAGATGGAAGGGGAGGAATGGGTGCTTTTGCATGAATTTTGGGAGTCAAGAAGAGCGAATTTAGAAGCACCATGCTACACTTACACCAAAAAATATACCTCATTTGTACACCACATGTTTGCACAAACATTTCGATGGTTTACACCGATACAAGTATCGGTGCGTTAATAAAAATTCACATGGACACAAATGTTGGTGCGTTTAACAAAAATTAGTTTTACACCAACACAAAATGTTGGTGCAAAACTGCGGGGTACAAATTGGGGTACAAATCTTGGGGTACACATAGCATAATCCAATTTAGAATAAGGAATGCGTGGTCTAATTGAACAAGGTATAAAATATCATATTTTTTAAAATAATTTTGATTAGAAACTAGTAGAGAAATAAAAAGTACAAATTACATTGTCAAAAGGACATCAAAAGTTCTGCATTCAACAAAAATATTTTATTTTATCAAATAGTCATCGAAAATGAGTAAAAAAAATAAAAAAAATCGAGATGCTGAAACAATAACTGTGACATTTTTTTTAGACGGATAGAGTATTTTATATGGATTTATAATTGGATCTTTTAATTTTTTTTCAAAGCCCTATACATATAATTATTTCTTGTATTAAGGTACATAAAATGTGTGTATAGATATACGGACCATAAGAAATTTTGCTATGATTGATAAATGGGCAAGGTTCTCTTTACATTTGTTTTTAATGTTACATGAGACACCTATGATACTCCATTCGTAATGATAATAGTTCTTACTCTTTAATTCCACCAAAAATACCTCGAAGCCCCAAACTAGCCCTTTACCACTTCCTTTCCAAATTGTGGAATTTAAATATTCTCTTTCCCCTCATATTTGAGTATAAAGAATTACTATAGTAAAGTGCTAACTCTGTCTTAGTGTATCTGTTTAGTTACACTTTTTCAAGTCAAACATGATAAACTTTGAGTTTTAATAAAAAATTACAATTTATATTAGTGTAAAAATCATTTCATTAAATCTATCTTATTAAAATATTTCAAAATTTTATTTTATTATACTAATATACATTTGAGATTACAAGTAATTGAAGCTCAAAGTTTGTTCAGTTTGACTAAAAAAAGTCAAATTATAAAATACATTAGGACGAAGACAATATTACTTACGGAGTATAACGGAATTGTTCCTTTGACATTGTAACCCCAATCGTAGCCTGACATAAGGTTCGATTGGGGCCTCTGTAGTACTTCGATCAAAAAATTGACGATTCCTATATATCTCACCCCCTAAACCCTCCCACCCCGACCCGAACAGAAACCCCGGCCTCCTTCAATTGCACCGTCCAATTTTAGTTGACTTTTGGTTTAAAAAACTGACCTCAAGGTTAACTAAAATTGAGTGATACAATTGAAGGGGATAGAGTGTCGGTTTGGATCGGGCCGAGGTGGGGAGGGGGTTGTGGTCAAGAATATTTTAGCTTTTTTCTTTACTTTCGTATAATTAGTTTTTTAATATTGAAAATATTTGGCATTGCGTTAAAAAATTATTTAAAATTTTATTACTCAAGTCTTGTAAGAGTTCATTGTTTTTTTGGGCCGGAGCCTAAGAAATTAAAAACGGCCTGTTCAAAGGATCTCACGGAGCATAACAAAAGAGGCCCTCAAACTCATCCATTCGTCTATTTCGTCAATCATCAGTCAGCTACTCAGTGTAAGAAGAAGAAGAAGATGGCGACACCGGCGTTAGCGGCTCAGCAACTCTTTAGCATCGGCACTAAGATAGTCGCCGTCGGCCGCAACTATGTCGCTCACGCCAAAGAGCTCGGCAACGCCGTTCCTAAGGTTCTTCTCTGTCGATCTATCTGCATTGCTAATCCATGTCTATATATATATATATATATATATATCTGTGTGTCGATCTATCTGCATTGCTAATCCATATCTATATGTGTGTGTGTGGATCGTTTTTTTTTGTTTTCTGTTTTCCTTCTCTTAATCGACGCTTTGTGTGTGCAATTTCTGGATTACCTGTAGGAGCCGGTGCTGTTTTTGAAGCCGACGAGTTCTTATTTGGAAAATGGAGGGACGATCGAGGTGCCGCATCCGTTGGAGTCGCTGCATCATGAGGTGGAGCTGGCGGTGTTGATTGGGAAAAAAGCCAGGGATGTGCCGGAGGCCACCGCCATGGACTACGTTGGAGGTAATTCCTTGACGAAATGTGAAACTCTGCTAATTAATCGAGTTTCTGTGTTTAAGTAATTGGATTTGAGTGACATTTGATTATTTAATCTCCTAGTAACTCAGTTTCCTTTTCACTCTTTGCTTGATGATCCCCACTACACTCTTGAGGGCACATTCTCTTAGGTTATGTAATTTGACTTTCCTTAACCAAACAGGGCGACCAATGTGCTGGTTTTGGAACATTGTTGCAGTGGATGCATGATTGCTACCTATTTAGTTAGTTTCAAATTCCATACTGAGTTTTGAAATGTCTAAGGTCACTAGTTTGTTTTATGCTGGGCACAGATATTTTCTTGTTTGAAATATGTTAGTTTTCACATTTATTCTTCCTCCAGACTAAAAATGGGAAGCACAAGACCTTCAGTATAAATTAATACTCTGATCTGTCACTGCATAAGAGCAGTGGCAGTGGCGAGGCATTTGCCTCCCACGCCCTGCCACATCATACTTTTGCCTTGCTAAGCATGGCATATCCTTACCGTGTCACTTGCTTTTCATGGCATATGCAAGGCACCCTATTTTTGAAAGAGGATAATTTTTTGGGGACGATGGAGTAATTTTATACTCCATTCGGCCAATGCAACTATAATAATACTCCCTCCGTCCCAGAGTATTTGTCCACTTTCATTTTTACACACCATCCAATACACTTCTTTAATCCATTTTATCTTGTAATTTGTATATTAAAAAATTATAAAAATTATATATTAATAATCTATATCTTAAGACAAATCAAACAAGATCACACATGACTATATTTAGGCTTACACATTAAGAGAATTTGATGAGTCAAAATGCTTAGATGAACAGTTCCAAAAGTCAAAAGTGGACGAATATAGCGGGACGGAGGTTGTAATTTTTTTCAAAGATAACGACTTGCCACTGCAATGCATGCCACTCCACGCTCTTGCCACACGATGACTAGACTGTTTTCTATTGGTTCAAATGTTCCACGTCAACGTGTGGCATTCCATTTTTTGCCTTGCCATTGCCCATGCTCTAAATTGTGCTTCACACACAATTATTGGCACCTTATTATTGTTTTTTCTATAGAAATGCAACCTTGGGAACAACCTCTTTACTTTCGAGTAGGGACAAGGTCATCTTACATACACTCTCACCAGACACTACTCTTGTGGGTTCCAATTGGGTTGTTGTTGTGTCTATAGAAATGCAACAAGAAATATTTTATTGGGATCTCTTCATTTTTAATGTTCCATGCTTTTTAATTCTTGGCTGGTGTTATGTGGACATGTGGTTCTCTTGTTGAATGTCAAACCAATTAGTTGTATATAGTATGTTGACCTATGTTCATAATGACATTCATGTTTCTTGATTTGCGCACTGATTTTACAATACCAAGAGGGTAGTCATGTTATATACATGACTATAACAAAATACCTAGTATCTCAATCCATTGATGTCTCATGGTCAAGTGAAAATAACTTATGATGATTCCAGCCTAGAATTTTATCCCATTATCACAGTTTCTTCAAAAGAAGGTTGAACAGGAAGGACATCAAGGGTATAAATTTTTACCATGCTTTTTGCATGAATTTTTAGCGTCAAAGCGTAAATTAATTTTAGAAAATTAATTGACAGAATAACTTTTACACCACCCACCGTAACTATATGGGATGAAGGGGATGATGATGATGAACAATGACGATATTTTTTCATATCGCATATGGAATCAAATGGATTGATTAAAGTTCTGCATGTTAGGTTACGGTCTTGCGCTGGATATGACTGCAAGGGAGATTCAATCTGCTGCAAAGGTATGCTGTTTTTTCATCTTCCAATATGCAATAGTGCCTCTAATGGTGTGCTGCCATTTTTGAAATGCCTGTTATTCTCTATTGTGTTGTCTACCCAAGTTTTATGTTGCATTTACCATCCATTATATCCTCTCAGTACTTCTTCTTTGAATTACACATATCTTCCAGTCTTACCTTTTCAGCTCCTGCCTTTTCTTATGTAGCCTCATCAATCCAACTTGAATGTTTTGACGTTTCCTGTCATTTAATCATTTTGTGCATATGATTTTATCCCCTGTTCTACATGCCAGTCTGCAGGTTTGCCATGGACTGTAGCTAAAGGCCAAGACACATTCACTCCAATCAGTGCATTTGTAAGAATACTTTCACTTTATTACTTTCATTCTCTATATTTATCACAGATCTGATTGATTCTAAGCTGTCAAATTAGTTGCTTAGGATGCCGTTTTGAGGACATGGATTTATCTTAAGAAGTTCTTTAGTGTGTCAGTGTGTCTCTGCGACATTAACTACTTTTGACAAAATTTTCTGCAAATCCAACTGAGATTGAGATTTTTCATGCATTTACCTTAAGAAGTTGACAATGAATTACAATGAAGTGCATAAACATAGGNTTTTTTTTTTTTTTTTTTTTTTGCTTTTTTAGTGTATTTTAACCCCCTCTGTGACCGTCCCACAAAAAGTTTTCACATTGGAACCAACATGAATATTAAAAATTACGTGATAGTGTGGTTGAGATCTACGGAGGAAAGATAAAAATAATATGAACCGCTCAATTCTTTTCTCAAAAGGTAAGGGAAACCAATAAAGAGATGTAGAACCTCATTTGCGGGACACGAGTACGTTTTAGTAAAATTTGTGTTATCACTGTCACTTATTTTGGAAACATCGTATTAGGATGGTAGATTTCTTGTAGGGGTAGGGGTTGCATGCATGCATGTTTTTTCCATTCTCACACTGCGGGTCACTATTTGTTGGTTTTCTTTTGGAACCTGTCACTCATTTGGAGTAGAGGTGAGGTCTGCACACGCCTTCCCGTTCAGACCATATTGTTGAGTGGATTTACTGTGTTTGTTTGGTTTGGTTTAGTTAATAATCAAAGACCTATTTCATACAGCTTCCACAGTCAATGGTGCCAGATCCCCATGATTTGGAGTTGTGGTTAAAGGTACACAATAACTGCTAGTTCTCTGCGTTTCATACACATATATTTGTGCTTTGTGTTCATTCAAGATCAAAGGCTAATCTAAGTGTTACCTTACCACTACTTTACAGGTTGACGGAGAGATACGACAAGAAGGCTCTACACGGGACATGATATTCAAGATTCCATACTTGATCAGCCACATAAGCTCTATCATGACACTTCTTGAGGGCGACATCATCTTAACTGGTATGAAAATTTGAATCTTTCTTTATTCTATATGTGACCAAAAATGAGAACTCCACGAGAACTCATTTGCATTCACACAAGAATTCCAAAGGTGATGTTGGTTTATACCAAATGATGCCATCTGTATGAGTTCATTGATGTGATGTTTATTTCTTTTGTTTGGGCAGGAACTCCTAAAGGTGTTGGCCCAGTGAACGTGGGACAAAAGATAGAAGCCGGGATAAGGGGTCTCCTGGACGTTCACTTTGATGTAGGAAAACGCCAGAGGGCAACATCATAATAATATGGTATGTTCATCATATCCATGTAGTTTACCAACATCTGAATCTATAACGAGACGTGATTTTAAAGACAAGCATCATTAAATAATATTTGTATCAAATGTTTGAAGAAGAACATCCATTTGGTAGTTTTCGAAACCATAGTTATTCAGGTCTGGCACATGGCTTCGTTATTTGCAATAAGATCTTAATGAAGAAAGTTCAGAACTTCTTAATGAAGTTGTAGATTAGGTTGTTGACCTCCTCGGGTGCTTCTTGGTTGATGTAATGAGCCACGCCTTTAAGTACAACGATGTCTTCCAGCAGTGGGACCACCTCCTTGAACCCGCCATTGTGTATGTACTCTTTTGCCCCTGGAATATTATAAGCCAAGTCTTCTTCTCCCACCATAAATGTGGTTGGCACCATCACTTTTGCGTCCGACCATGGTGCACTCAGCTCCCAGTCCCTGCATTTTAAGCCCCCTTCACTCAGACTTGTACTCATTTGTACCCGATTTAGTCCCTCAACCATACACTATTACCCAAATTGGTAGTGTTCTTTTTCTTAAGACATTCAATTTGGTCATTTACTATACCGTTTTGACACAATCAGATCCCATACATGATTATGCCATTCGAGCACACTGCAGTCCTAAATGGACTAAAATACCTTTCCTAAGTTTGAGCCAACTGTACAACAACTCTGTTGAATCCCACGAGCCTACCCGAAAGTAGAGCTGTTTCTTGGAGACTCCTAGCAATTTGAGCCAACTATGTATGAGCTAAATTCAGTCCATACTACATAACTAAAATTCCAACTAGTTTCAGCATAAGAAATAATGGAATGGAGGGTGACATGGTGAAGAGAAAGAAGGGATACTCACAGTTTAAGAGCTCGGTAGTAGTTGATTCCCCCGGTGAAGCCGGTCTTCTCAAACTGAGCCGCGTAGTAATCCAAATCTTCTTCCGACAACCAAGAAGGAAGAGGACTGGCGGCCGAACCATCTGTATTAGCACTAAACCCTTTGCCTTTAGGGAAGTAAAATGGCCCTCGTTTGCGGAACGCCATGAAGTTTTTCATACATTCCTTCACCCCGATAGGGGCCAACTCTGCTTCAATCTCCCCTGCTTCCTGTACAACTCCCAGTTTTGTAAGAAACTCAGTTAATACACCAATTGCTCATCGTTCCAAATCCCAATTGTGAATGTCCCAATGTATCATGCCTCTTTTACCTTTTGAGGTATGTCCCATGTTATCATGTTTGATCCTTTAATAGAACGCTTGATTCATAATTACTACCCGTTCTTTGTTTACTTTGACTTTTTCGAGTCAAAGTGACTTTGAGCTTCAATTATTCTATTTGTATTGCATATATGTACAATGAAATAAAATTTTAGAAGTTCTAATCTAGATAAATTTAATAAAAATATTTTTATATTAATATACTCCCTCCGTCCTAAAACTATCTTCCCAGTTACTATTCACACGGTCAAACTTAAATCACTTTCTTTACCTATTTTCGTTAGCAATTTGATAAAATAATATAGTCTTGTCGCCTCTTGTTTTGTAGAACTTTTGATGTAGTTTTTAAATATATAAATTTTATTTTTTAATTTTACACCTACAATCAAATAAATTGAATTGAAAATAAAGTCGGTCAAACCTCGTAAACACAAACGGGAAGATAGTTTTAGGACGGAGGGAGTACATTACAATATTTGTTTATTTGAAATTCAAAGTTAATCAGGTATCTTTTTTGAACTTTGATTTGTGATTGGCACGATTTTCTTGGAGTGTGATAGATCTTGGCTGGTTGTGGTTGGTATAAAGAAATCTATGCCACTATACACAATCCTTTCTTTAAAATGGAATAAAGTTTTGGGTTTTTTGGTTATTCCAAATAAGAAAGTAAAAGCTTGTTTCCGAAATCATTAGATCTGATTTGGTTTGACTTTGATTTGTAGTTATAATTAAAGTAGTTTCTAATAGTGTGATTTGATTTCAATAAGAATAAGATGTTGAGAATAAATTCTAAGAAGATAATTATGATAAGAAAGGAGTACTTTTTTCATTCTAGAGTATTCTCTATCTTTTTTTAGATAAACATTTATGTGACAACAAAAACAACCCAAACAAACTCCAAGAAACCAAAATTTCTGAACTGTTGTCCTAATATGAACAATTAGAAACAGTTCAAGTAAGGAAGAAATATCTACTTAGGACTATAACATGCTTCGTATATCGAAATAGGATCTTCAATTTTTATACTTCCTTTGTCCTACAAAACTTTTCTCCTATTTTTCTTTATCCGTTCTAAAAAACCTTTCTCATTTCTATTAAAAAATCACTTTTACTCTTACTAATTCTTAACCTATCTATCACATCACATTTTTTATTGTTAATCTACCTATCACATTCAAGGTCATTTTTGAAAAGCCAACACGAAAACACTCTTTAAATCCCCTAAAAGACAAAAAACGAAAAAGATTTTGTGGGACGGAGGAAGTACTCCCTCTGTCCCATTTTAAATCGCCTGTTTTGACTTTTTGGCGTATTTAAGGAAAAGAAAAAATAGAGTTGATTTTCCGAAATTGTCAGTACTTTTTAGGAGGGATAACGATGATTGAGAAGATAAGGTGGAGAAAAATGACTTATTTTAGAGGTAGTTTAGTTATTTTACTCTTAAAAGTTTACGAAAACAACTAACAGGCAACTTATTTTGGGACGGAGTAAAAAGGCAAACAGGCAATTTAAAATGGGAAGGAGGTAGTAGTAAAATAGGACTTTCAAGTAATGACAAAAAATATTGTGAAATACCGGTAGAAAAATAAGTGTCAAACCAGAGGGAAAGAAAGTTACAGAACCAATCAGATTAGACAGAGATTAAAGCAACAGCTAAATGGGCTAGAGAGAAAGGAGAAAATGGTTGTCTATGTGTACCTGGTATCTGTTCATGTAGTGGTCATCTCCATAGATAGCTCTCAAGAGATCAACCAGGTTGAGGTGTGGGTCCCTGGGCAAATGGTGGACACTGAGGATGACCAAAGCCCTCACTTTATCTGGCCTAAACAAGCACAGATGCCAGGCCACCACCGCTCCCCAGTCATGCCCAACCACAAACACCCTGTCCTGGTCGGGCGCCACCGCCTTAAGGAGGGCCACGAGGTCCCCCGCGACGTGGAACACCGTGAACTTGGACGGGTCGTCGTTGGGGGCCCCAGTGGTGCCGCCGTAGCCCCGGAGGTCCGGCGCCACCGCGCGGTACCCTCTAGCGGCGAGGAAGACGATCTGGTGGCGCCAGGAGTACCAGAGCTCCGGGAAGCCGTGGAGGAGGAGCACCAACGGCCGCCCTTCTTCCCCGGACTCCGCCACGTGCATGTTTATCCCGTTCACCGCCACCGTCCGGTGCGTTATCTTCTCCATCTTTTTCTTTGTGTTGTTTACAACATTTGGTTGTGACTTTATAGGGATGGGCAGTGTGGCCAGTGGCCAGTGTGGTTTACAACAATTTCAATCTAACATTCTCCCTTTTGTGCATCTCACATCTGTAAGTTTTTATTCCCTAAAAAGTATTTGAATAATGTCTAGTGGCGGGAATAATGTCGAGTGATAGTGGATATTTAGTTTGGACAACGTTCAGTGGCGGTGGACATTCACTTGAACAATGAGTCAATGACCAGTGGTACTACGTTGGGAAATAAAAACATTTTGGTACTACATCGGAAAAGTTGTTATATTTACCCCTCCGTCCTAATTCTTTCTTCCCAGTTTGACTTTTCCCCATTTTTAATTTTTGGCTTTGACTTCAAATTTTACCCTCCTTAAAAAAGATTTTTTGAATTTTTTTTTGCAATCATTCAAAATATAGAGTTAGAAGATAATTGGTGTAAATACATGAGGGTATTAATGTCATTTGTCATCTTTTTTTTCTAATGGGAAGGTAGTTTTAGGACGGAGAAAAAGGGAAAGTGGGAAGAAAGTTTTAGGACGGAGGGAGTAGTACTATTTATGTAAATTCAATATAATTTGATTCATATTAGAATATATAGTTTTAGGGAGATGCTAGGGGTACACTAAAGGTGTGCCCCAAATGTCCCTCACCTCCTCCACAACCATTCATTTTTATTTTCTTTTTATTTACTTATTTTTTTGAATTTTCTTGCCTATTTTTGTGGACAAGGAGGGGTGGGGGACATTTTGGGGTACACCTTTGGTGTACTCTTAGCATTTTCATAGTTTTAATATATTAAATTCTTATAATATTTATTAATTTAATTATATTAATTTATAATAAAAAAGTGTCAAAACTTGACAAAAAAGTCCAAACGAGAAGGTTTTCACTTAATAATTCTACTTTACGTTAGTTTTTACCGTGCATGTACGTGTTTGCGGGCGTCATCTAAGAATATGAACCATTGATTAAAGTGCATGTCACTTGTTTGAGTCAATGGTTGACTATGTTTGGATCTGGAGGCCCATCCAATGTGATAAAATCTGTTCCATATTTCAAACTATTCCCTTAAACCCATGATGGATATTATTTTAGAGGTAAGGAAATTTAGTTAAAATTATTTTCAATTCAAATTATTTAAATATTAATGTAAAATGTAAATATAAATGTTATGTATTTTTGTTTTTTAAAATCTCATCAAAAGGTCTACAAACCATAGTTTATAGGATTAAATTATTTTGACTAAATTAGTTAGAATGATATTCCTCCTAACTTTTAATTATGAAATATTTGCACTAAATAGCACTAAAACTTAAGTCATTTCCCTAAGTAGCACTTAAACTGTTTTATTTTTTAAATAGTACTTAATAATATTCATAATGTCCAATAATGGTGAACATTTACTTAAATAATAACTAATGGATCAATAATGATGAAAAGTGATACATTGGGATTAATATATGTGATGCTATTTAGGAAAAGTCATTATGTTTTAGTGTTATTTACCTAAATTCCCCTTTAATTATCCACGTGACTGTAAACCTAGTGACTTTAAGGCATGTTTGGTTGGAGAGACGGGAAGGGGAAGAGATGGAAAAATCAACTACTCTATCCATTTCAAATTAAATTGTTTGCATGCTTACTATTTACATTACTTATTTAATCTAATAAAATATTATTGTCTTCTTTTATTTTGTAGAATTGTTGACGTAGTACGTTTTTGAAGATTTAATTTTTATTTTTTATTTTTATATTAATTTTTAAATAAAATAAATTGAAAAAATTGATTGAAATTTCACTAGGATGAGGCGTCAATGACGGAGGAAAGTAGTAGTTTGAACGAGTGAGTTGCTTAACATTTTTTAATATATGTAAATTAGTTTTTTTTGGTGAAATATACTCCCTCTGTTCTAAAATGTTCTTTCCACTCACTTTTTACCCGGTCAAACTTTAATCACTTTCTTTACCTATTTTCATTAGGTATTTGATAAAATAATATAGTCTTGTCACCACTTGTTTTATAGAACTTTTGATGTAGTTTTTAAATATATAAATTTTATTTTTTAATTTACACCTACAATCAAATAAATTGAATTGAAAATAAAGTCGGTCAAACTTCGTAAAATGAACCGGGAAGAACATTATAGGACGGAGGGAGTATATAAACTCATTTGAAGGTTTTTTTTTACGGTTTTTTATATCTCGCCGTTTTTTTTTTTGAACTACCAAGCCATTAAGCGTAGTTGCGATCTACTCCCTCCGTCCCGCTATATTCGTCCACTTTTGACTTTTGGAACTGTTCATCTAAGCACTTTGACTCATCAAATTCTCTCAATGTGCAAGCCTAAATATAGTCATGTGTGATCTTGTTTGATTTGTCTTAACATATAGGTTATTAATATATAATTTCTATAATTTTTTAATATACAAATTACAAGATAAAATGGATTAAAGAAGTGTATTGGATGGCGTGTAAAAATGAAAGTGGACAAATATTCTGGGACGAAGGTAGTATATACTAATCCATTCTCATCATTCTACCAATAAGAACTATATTTAGACATTTATTTTAGCCATATACGGAGTACTTCGTATCATTCATTAACTAAATAATTTAAATGAAAACAAAATAGTTCGAGGACAAGAACTGGAACCACGACCGCTGATTCCGAAAAACCGGCACCGTCACTGCCGGCCACGACGTTCGTGTTTTATTTGATAGAATAATATAATCATGTAAACTCTAGTTTTGTAAATCTTTAATTTTCATGGCCTATTTTCGTGTTTTATATTTGTAAAGTCACTATCTTTAATAAAAACATGGAGTATTTTTTAAATAGTACTAAAACATAGTGACTTTTCTGATGTAGTAGCATATGTTTTTATTTTTTAATGTAGTACCACTGCTCAATGTCTAGCGCCACTGAACATTGTTCAAACTAAATGAACACCATCACTGGACATTGTTCCCGCCATAGTTTTAAAAACCGGACCGGACCGGCCGGTTCGGACCGTGAACCGGCGAACCGGTGGTCCAACTGGTCCGGTCCGGCCCTTTGGACCGTAAGATGCTGCGAACCGGCGTGAACCATTGTGAACCGGCCGGTGCCGAGGACCTTTTTTTTTGTGATTTTTTTCCAAAACATGCAACCATGGGGGTTTGAACCTAAGACATCATAGACATTTGACTGAGTTCCTAACCATCCAGGCAAGAGTGTTTTTTTTACAAATTTACTTAATCTTTTATAATATTTCATAATTTAAAAAAAAGATTGTATAAAAATTCATTTTTAATTTTAAAAATATAATATTATATAGCTATGAGTCAAACACAAAATTATTGATATTATTGATATTATTTCAAAATGCATATAATGCAAAGATTTCATTTGAGTTTTTTTTTAATATTAAACAACTTATTTGAAAAAAATAAAATCGACTCTTTATTTATATAATTTTTAAATATGTTTAGACCACCGGTTCGACCAGTTGAACCACTGGTTCGACGAGTAAACCAGTGAACCAGTACCTTGACCGGTTCGGTCACTAGTCCGGTTCTGAAAACTATGGTTCCCGCCACTACACATTATTCAAGTATTATTTAATAAATAAAAAAGTCTAAGTACTATAATGGGAAAGAACATATGTTTTAGTATTATCTAGTACAAATTTTACTTTTAAGTATGTAATTTTTTTTAAATTTCATACCATTTTTCATATAAAATGATTTGAAAATATATTCAGTCAAACATCTTAACCCGGAAGTTGAGGAGAACATGACCTAAGACTCCCTTTGACACACGGAAGTCAGACTATGGAATTTGAATTACAGAAAATAATTCCAATTCTGCTGTTTGGAAGTACAAAAAAATGTGGATTTGAAATTGGTAGTGTCAAACATGAATTGGAATTGGAAAATTCAATTCCATCCAAATTCAATTCCAATTTCATCAATTTCGTGTACCAAACGAACGACTCTAAGTGTACTTGGAATCTGCATATGTAGAGATCATCTCCATAGGTTGCTCTCAAGAGATCAACCAGGCTGAGGTTTGGGTCCCTAGGGATGTAGTGAACACTGAGGTTCTGATATGTGCATGGGACGTAGGGGCACTCATGTGGTCACTCTACTCACTTCTATTTTATTTATTTCTTTTATTTAATTGTCTATTTTAATTGTTGAATGTTTCTTTAGTGACTTAGTCTTTGTTGGTTAGTGGAGTAGTGGGTCAAATAAAGCTACAGCCACAAATCCTGCATATTTGTAGGAGATAGTGGAGTACTGGGTCAAATAAGCCACACAACCACAATTCTGCATATTTGTAGGAGTTAGTTTAGCAAGTAGTTACATTCACCGCTATTTAAGGAGTGTACTCTCTCGTTTATGGATCATCAAGAAATATATTGAAATTGCCCCGCCTCTCTCTTTTCCTTTCTTTTCTGCTTCTTCTTTCATGTCCTGGTTCTGAACTTATCATTTGGTATCAGAGCCCGATCTAATGGAAACCCGCAACAAGGCTCAACATGATAAGACTCAAGAGGTGAGTGACACCCTCGTCCAACATGGAATCCAATTAAACCACCTCACTAGCAGTAACCAACAATTAACTGCTGCCGTCCAAACACTTCTCGAGAAAATGCAGTCCCTTGAAACCTCCATTAACACGACCCGTTCCAACGACTCGTATGGGTCATCCACTCATCACCGCACATCGCCGTTCACTCATGTCGGCAATAGTCAACCTCAAACCAAACTGTTTTTTCCCAAGTTTACCGGAGATGATCCAATTGGATAGCTTTACTTATCCGAGCAATACTTCGAGTTCGCCAAGATTCCTTCTGATCAACAAGTCTCCTTAGCCTCATTTCACATGGAGGGCATTGCCCTACAGTGGTGCAGGTGGTATACAAAGTTCAAAGGACCACTCACTTGGGGAGAACTCACTCAAGCAGTTTTGCAGCGCTTCGGCCCGACCGATTTTGAAGATCCGTCTGGAGCACTCTCTCACCTGACACAGACAACTATAGTTGCTGCCTACACAGAGTCGTTCGAACAGCTCTCCCATCGTGTCGATGGCCTTCCGGAACCCTTCCTTATCGGTTGCTATATAGCCGGTTTGAAAGAGGAGATACAATATGATGTTAAAGTAAAGAAACCCAAGAATCTCTCGGAAGCCATAGGTGTAGCCCGCGTAATTGAAGAAAAGAACAACACTCAAAAAAGGCACCCCTCAAGCAATCGCTTCACACCCGCCGGCTCATCTACACGTTCAACCCTGTCCAGCCCTGGACTCTTGGGTCCGCATCCGAATGCACAATCAGCAGCCAAGCCTGCTGCCCCCTCTCAAAATCCAGTCAGACGCATCACTAATGCCGAAGCCAAGGAGCGACGAGACAAGGGTCTTTGTTACTATTGTGACGAGAAGTTCTTCCCAGGTCATCGATGCTCCAAGCCTCAATTGTTTATGATTTGTGAGGCCACAGTTGAAGAACCGATAGAACCTGCAGATCAGGTTGCTGAAATCTTACCCCAAAATGACATGCCTGAAGTTTCGTTCCATGCAATAACAGGTACCATGCATCCACAGACAATTAGGCTCATGGGGAAAATCGGGAACAAACAAGTTATGGTCATTGTTGACGGAGGAAGCACCCATAATTTCATTGAACATTCTTTGGTTACCAGGTTTGGACTCGTAATCCATCGGGAGGAAACGTTTGAGGTCATGGTGGCTAATAGGTAACGGATTTCATGTGTCGGTCTAGTCCGAGACCTCACGTTAACCGTACAAGGCTATACCATCACTACCGACTACTACGTTCTACCAGTAGCTGCATGCCAGATAGTCCTTGGGGTTCAATGGCTGAAGACACTTGGGCCAGTCAAATTGGACTATCAACGTCTCACCTTGCGGTTCAAGATTGGGAACTCATCCCATTCGTTAGAAGGCATCAAGCAACCCAACTCAACCGAAGCCTTGACAGATAAGGAACTTCAAAGTTTGCATGGAATGGGGTACTTGTTCCAGATTGAGTTATGCACTGTTACACCACTTTCAAATTCCCCCACAGAGAATTTGGAGCTACAACAGCTTCTGGCTGACTTTAAGGGAGTTTTCCAGCCCCCCTCTTCATTACCCCCACACCGCAGGCATGACCACCGGATTATATTAAAACCCAACGCTGGTCCGGTTAGTGTTCGCCCTTATCGATACCCGTACTACCAAAAAGAAGAGATGGAAAAGATGGTCCAAGAGATGTTGCAATCGGGGATTATTCGTCCAAGTCACAGCCCGTTTTCTTCTCCAGTTCTACTCGTCAAAAAGCATGACGGAACCTGGAGGTTTTGTGTTGATTATAGAGCTTTGAATGAGCTCACAATCAAAGATAAGTATCCAATCCCCATAGTTGATGAACTGCTTGATGAGCTCCAAGGTGCACGGATATTCTCAAAACTAGATTTACGATCGGGGTTTCATCAAATTCGAGTACGGGAAGAGGACGTTCCAAAGACAGCCTTCCGAACCCACGAGGGTCATTACGAGTTCACTGTCATGCCCTTCGGCCTTACTAACGCCCCCGCTACCTTCCAAGGTCTCAGGAATGACTTATTCCGGCCTTTCTTACGTAAGTTCATCTTGGTATTTTTTGATGATATTCTTGTTTATTCAAGATCGTGGCCGGATCACCTCGATCATCTCCGTCGGGTACTGCACATATTGTCTTCTAACAAATTGTTTGTTAAGGAGTCCAAATGCACTTTTGGTGTTTCAGAGGTTGCCTACCTGGGGCACGTGATATCCGAGTGAGGGGTTTCAGTGGATCCCTCCAAAATAGCTACAGTGCTCGAGTGGCCTACCCCCAACAAATGCAAAGGGGGTCCGAGGTTTTTTGGGCTTAGCCAGGTACTACCGTAAGTTCATTCGTAACTTCGGGACCTTGGCTGCTCCCTTAACTAAGTTGTTGGGAAAGGAAGAGTTTAAGTGGACAGAAGAGGCTCAAGAGGCTTTCTCTCGTTTGAAGGAGGCCATGACTACTCCCCCAGTTCTTCAACTACCTGATTGGACCCGTCCGTTGGTAATTGAATGTGACGCAAGTGGTGGCGGTCTAGGTGCCATATTAATCCAAGGAAAAAGGCCAGTTGCCTACTTTAGTGAGGCTATAAAAGGTTCAGCTCGCCGTTTGTCAACATATGAAAAGGAGATGTTAGCCATGGTTAAGGCAGTGAAAAAGTGGCGACCTTACCTTTTGGGCAAGCCATTTGTCGTTCGAACTGATCACAAGGCATTGAGATACCTCTTGGAGCAGCGCAGATCACGACCCCGGCTCAAACTAGATGGTTACCTAAACTTCTCGGTTATGACTATTCAATCGAGTATAAGGCAGGGACAGAAAATCGGGGTGCCGATGCCCTGTCCAGGTTGGTAGAGGCTAATTGTTTAGCTATTTCATGCTCACAAGTTGATTGGTGGCAAAAAGTACGGGAGGAAAATGCCACTGACCCTTTTTTTCGAGCACTGGCTGATTCCAAAAATGACTCGAGGCTCACATTCAGGGATGGGATTTGGTTTCGAGCCGGACGGATTATCTTAAGCCCCTCTTCGTCCTTACTTCTTCAGGTCCTTCATGATTGTCATGCGTCACCCGTTGGTGGTCACTTTGGTTATCAAAAGACACTCGCTCGAATAAAGCGAGACTTTTATTGGGCTGGGATGAGGAAGATGGTCAAAACTTATATACAGGAGTGTTCCGTATGTCAACGGTTCAAGGCAGACCACCTCAAGACCCCCGGCCTATTGCAACCACTTGAGATTCCCACACATATTTGGACTTCTATCTCTATGGATTTCGTGGAAGGTCTTCCGGTTTCCAGTGGCTACTCCACGATCTTTGTGGTGGTTGATCGGTTATCCAAGTACGCCCATTTCATAGCCCTCAAACACCCATTTACAGCTGTCTCAGTTGCTAAGACATTTGTCAACAATGTGGTTCGCTTGCACGGCATTCCAATTTCCATTGTTATTGATCGAGACAAGATTTTTATGAGTACCTTTTGGCAGACTTTGTTTAAATTGCAGGGTACTACGTTGAGCATGAGTTCGAGATATCATCCTCAGACGGATGGGCAAACCGAGGTTGTAAATCGCACCCTCGAACAGTACTTACGTTGCTTTGCCGGTGATTGTCCCAAGTCTTGGGTCGAGTGGTTATCGTGGGCAGAATATAGCTACAACACTTCGGTCCATTCGTCCACGAAGGTATCTCCATTTGAGGTGGTGTACGGGGTTCCTCCACCTCGTCTAATCCCTTACGAATCGGGTACAACCAAGGTGGAAGCAGTAGATAAAGGATTACGAGAGCGCACCGTGTTGCTACAGGACTTGAGGAAGAATCTTTTGCAAGCTCAGAATTCTATGAAGAACATTGCAGACCGATGTCGTCGCAAGGTTACTTTTGAACTCGGGGACTTTTTTTATCTCAAACTCCAACCATACAAGCAGGTTACAGTGGAACGACGGCTGTCCAGCAAGCTTGCTCCTCGGTTCTATGGGCCCTTTAGGGTGCTTAAACGCATTGGTCCGGTGGCTTACGAGTTGGAGTTGCCAGCGGGCTCTCAGGTTCATAATGTCTTTCATGTTAGCAAGCTCAAATTACATCACGGAGAGCTCATCTCACCAACCGTACCTCTCCCTACCGTCTCGGATGCATCTACTGTAGAACCACAACCGGAAAAAATCTTGGCGTTTCTTTGGTTAAATGGGTGGGTGGCCTAGTTGAAGATGCTACATGGGAAAGTGAATGGCGTTTCCGGAAGTCTTACCCTTTTTTTTCACCTTGCGGGCAAGGTGCTTGAGGGAGGGGGCAATGATATGTGCATGGGACGTAGGGGCACTCATGTGGTCACTTTCCTCACTTCTATTTTATTTATTTCTTTTATTTAATTGTCTATTTTAATTTTTGAATGTTTCTTTAGTGACTAAGTCTTTGTTGGTTAGTGGAGTAGTGGGTCAAATAAAGCTACAGCCACAAATCCTGCATATTTGTAGGAGATAGTGGAGTACTGGGTCAAATAAGCCACACAACCACAATTTTGCATATTTGTAGGAGTTAGTTTAGCAAGTAGTTACATTCACCGTTATTTAAGGAGTGTACTCTCTGGTTTATGGAACATCAAGAAATATATTGAAATTGCCCCGCCTCTCCCTTTTCCTTTCTTTTATGCTTCTTCTTTCATGTCCTGATTCTGAACTTAGTTCACCAAAGCCCTCACTCTATCTGGCCTAAACTGGCACAGATGCCAGGCAATCATTGCCCCCCAGTCATGCCCAACCACAAACACCTTCTCTGCACTCCCCGGGGCTACGGCCGCCAGGAGGGCCACCAGGTCCCCCACGACGTGGAACACCGTGAACTTTGATGGGTCGTCGTTGGGGGCCCGAGTGGTGTCGCCGTAGCCACGGAGGTCCGGTGCCACCGCGCGGTAGCCTCTGGCGGCGAGGAAGACGATCTGGTGGCGCCAGGAGTACCAAAGCTCCGGGAAGCCGTGGAGGAGGAGCACCAACGGCCGCCCCTCTTCCCCAGACTCCGCCACCTGCATGTTTATCCCGTTCACCGCCACCGTCCTGTGGGCTATCTTCTCCATCTTCTCTCTTTCTTTTTCTCTCCAAATTTTCAGACTTATTTGTACAAGACATGGTTATTGTTAAATATATTGTATATATTTAATATATTGTATTATTCCCTTACCTAATTTGTATAGGTTTCCTTACTTGTGTCTCTCCTACCTTGTTTAGGATTGAGACTCTTCTTATATATATACATGTAATCACAACTCTTTTGATTAATAAAAATCATAATTCTTCATGGTATCAGAGCCTAATTAAACAACAACAAAACCCTAACCCTACCTCTCGGCTCTCCCTCTCTCCCGCGGCAGACTCAGCGCCGCGCCGCCGTCCCTCCTTCGACGTCGGCAGTCCCAGCGGCGGCACTCCCTCCCCCTCTCCCTTCGGCTCTCTCTCCTCTCTTCAATGGCCGAAAGCGAGGTTACCTCCAACTCCACCTCGGCGAAAACCCCTCATCTTGCCTTCACGACGGTCTCTAACGTCAAACTCCACGTTCCGGTTCTTCTTAGTCTCTCTCAACCGAACTACAAAAAGTGGAGTCGCCTTTTCCTCCTCTTGGTTCGCCGATTCAATCTCCAAGGCTACATCAATGGCTCCATCGTCCCTCTCTCCGAAGACGACGATGAGTGGCTCCAACTTGACGCTCTCCTCCAGGGATGGATCTTATCCACCATCTCCGACGAAGTCTCGGATCTGGTTATCTCATCTGTCTCCACCGCTTCTGCTCTTTGGAAAGTTATCCATGATCTTTTTCACGACAACAAGAATGCTCGTGCCATGCAACTC